CCCAGCTCTCCCGGCCGCTCGCGCAGCGCCTCGCGCACACTGCGGACTGCCGGCGTGCACCTAATCCGCGAGCAAGACGAGGCCGGCCCAGTGGAGATCAGCGCCTGAGCGCCGCGGGGCCCAGGCACGCCCGCCGTCTGCCGCCTGCCGTCTGCCTGGGGGCGGCCCGAGAGGGCCCGGTGGGGGCGCGGGGCTCCGGGTGGGGACTTGTGTGAGCGTGCGCAGATGGGGGCGCGGTGGGTTGGCGGAGTGACCTGCGTGCGTCTGCTCCTGGTTTACTACCTGTGTTCTCAGTGGGTGTGGCTCCTGTCCTCTTAGGCCCATACAGATGATTACATTTCCGGCCCAGTCCCCCCAGGGCCTCTGTGGAAACTAACATCGGTAACCTAACCCCGTGACCATCCCGTGCTCTTCATAGGGGGCGCTTATGCTTTCCACCCCTTCCCACCCAAGGAACACCGGATTCCTGGGGCACATTTTTTTGTCAAGCCCAGATCAGAGAGACCGCTTGCCCAAAATGCACAGCAGCCCTAAACTAAGGGGAAGCCGGGTGTCGGTTATGGGTGTACAGGGGCTGTTCCGAGCACCAGGGGACTCGTGATGAAGGCAGCGCCATGGAGCACGCTTCTCCCTCCGGCCGCTTGCTTTCTGGGTACCCACAGGTTGGTGAGGGAGAAGCACGAGTACCACCCCTTGTCCCCTGATCTCCAGGGTTTGGCCTCCCCACAGCCTTCCTCAGCAGCCTGCCCAGCATCCTTTCTGTCACTGCCCATGCATGAGAGATGGGTGGGCTTATTCCTACAGAGATGGGATTCCCAGTCCCTCCCCTGGCCCAGGAAACCAGATCAAATGAGGAACTGTTTTTAACCCCTCAAACCCATGCCTTCTCCGCGCCTTCCTTACAAAACAAGACTTTCAAACAATCATCCCTGCGAAGGGTGTAGAGAAAGAGGTTCTAATCTCCGGAGAAGTGGGAGGAGGAAGAGGAGGCTTATTGTCCCCAGGTTGTCAGGAAGACGTGATCCTCCTGCCACCCACCTGCCCTGTTCCCAGATGCTCGCCCCAGGGGGCAGGACAAGGACAGACCCCTAATGAGACTAACATCAGAATACAGAGGGTCTGGGCCGGGCCCCTCTGCAGCTGCCCCAAGCCACTGCCACGTGTAGAGTTCACAGGAGACACAGTGATCTGCTGTGTGAGGAGGGACAATTAAAAAGCTGAAAGAGAGGAAGGCCCTCTGTGTGTTCTGTCTTCTTCTCCCTGATGCTTCTAGGGGGTCCTCGCACCCCTGGCCCCTCCCCAACCTCCTGAACTCCAGCTCTGATTCTCCTCCACCATCTCCCCGAGCAACTCCCAGGTCCCGTTACCCAACACCTCCACACCAGGGCAAGTTGTGTCCCAGGCCGGCCCCAAGAGCAGCAGGGTTTCTACTTTCCCCCCTCCGCCCAGCAGAATGCCCCTCCCAGCTCGAGTCCCTCTGCGCTTGCACAGGCTCATTTGAGCTGGTGTGCCTTTGCGGCAACCTGTTCATTAGCTGCGAAGGCACAACCGCTGGACCGATTAGCCAGAACCGATTCCCCAGCCTTCCCAAGTGCCTCATCCATGAGACTACGCATGCAGGGGAAAGTTGCTCAGGCCGATGGCAGCCACAGAAAATGGAAAAGGGTGCCTGCCCGTCAGCCTTGAGATGCAGAGGTGAAAATTAGGGTGAGACAAGAGGGTGTCCTGGTGCTGAATCCCTGAGGTGCCAGCTTCCCAGGCTCAAGCCCAACTAGCCTTAAGCGGGGGTGGGAGGGGGAGTGTATGTGCAAATAAGGAAGCGTTTTTTTGTTTTGTTTTGATCCTCGTCTTTGTATTAATAGCATCTAGCACTGTGCGTAGCACATTCTGGATGCTCAGTAAACTTCCGATGAAATGAAATGACTACTTGATTCCACATAAGCGAGGAGGCCAAAACAAACAGCTTAAAAATACCAGTCATTTTCCTTTTTTCTTCTCATCTTTCACTATCCATCCTCTTTCCAAAACCCAAGTTGTCTGCGCCAAAATCGTCACTCACTCATTCGTTCAGTTAGTTGTTCTTTCACTTATTCAACACATTTGTTAATCTCCTATGGCACCAGGGCTGACTGTACAACATGGCCACCTCCCAGAAGGCGGTCTCATGGGGAAGACAGATGAGGAAGCAGATTACCCAATACAGTAAAATGCAATGCAGGGGTAGGGACATGGTGCTCTGGGAGCATGTCGGAGGGGCAAAGGTATCCTGGAGAAGAGGGTGCTTGAGTCTAGTCTTGGAAGGATTAGTTAACTGGGTGGAAAAAAGGAGGAGAGAACGCATACTTGAGGCAAGGGAGCAGCCTGCGTAAAAGCTTGGAAGTGCAACACACACTGGGGAATTCAGAACACTGAGCTGTGGGTGAGATTATTTTGGTAGAGCTTACTGGGTGAAAAGTGAAGAAGGCTGAAGATAGATCCCCGAGGAACTCAGTCTATGAAGATAAGTTAAAAGGACCCCACCAAAGAGGCTAAAAAGGTACAGCCAGAGAGGTGGGGGAAATTCAGGAGATAATGATGTCATAGAGTCAAAGGAAGAAGAGGGTTTCAAGGAACAGGGAGCATCCAGAACTGCAGAAGAGGATTACATATGAAAAAGCATGCATTGAGTTTGGCAACAAGGAGATCGTTGACCAACCTGGCATAAGTAGTCTCAGGGGAGGTCGTGGGGGCAAAGCCAGATGCGATGAGTGACGAGTGGGTGGAACGTGTGCTAGATACTGGAGACTAGATATTTGAGAGGTCCTCCTGTTTCAAAGCAACCAGCTCTTGCTTAAAACATAGTTGTTTTGTGTTGTTGATCTTCAGGAGATGGGGGAAATTTCCAAGAGGCCAGAATCAAAGCAAAACAAAAAAGTGAGCCCAGAATATTTAACTCTCATAAAATGTGGGATTAACCTAGGAGCAAGTGTGTATACTAACACTGTAACAAGAGACTAGACTTGGGCTCGTGACAAAGTTGGAGGAGCTGAATCTGGGACTTCTACATTGAGCTGGCATCTTAGAAGGGAGTTAATGTGGCCCCTAGTTTGTATCATTCCAGGCTTCTAGCAATAAAAATGCAAATCGTCTTTGGGGAAAAGCTTCCTCTCAAATTTTCAGAGATTAAGACCAATCAAATATGAGTTAGCAAATGCAAAAGGAAAGATAGTGGGGAGGATTGACAAAACCAAAGTTTACTTATCTGAAAAGATTGTTTAAAAAGTAAATGTCTGGTGTGATTGATTAAGGTAAAAGAGAGAAGACACAAATAAAGGATATTATGAATAAAAAAGGAGAAAATAATTACCAATCTAGTATAGATGAAAAAGATAATAAGAAAATAATATTAATACAAATAGTTTTAAAATTTAGGCAATAAATGCACCCATAAAGAGATGGAGAGTGATAGAATGGATAAAAAAACAGGATCCATCAATATGTTGTCTACAAGAGACACACCTTAGAAACAAAGACGTAAATTTATTAAAAATCAAAGGATGGAAAAAAATATGTCAAGCAAACAGCTACCAAAAAACAGCAGAAGTGGCAATACTAATCTCAGATAAA